CTTTCCGGGCCATCTCACTCGGTCTGGACATAACGTGAGAGTTTATACCCAGATTTAGGAGAGTGATTTGGTCCTCAGTGATGTTATTTCCTGCAAGGTTCAGGAAGCCATCTCTTGGTCGTGGAATTGCCATAGGTCCTCCATATAACGTTGTTAGCTTCTTGATAATCTTTGTTTCAGTGCTGAGGTGATGTCGGTCAGTGAGGATGTCGAGGTGTTGTTCAATGCGGGTACGGAGACTTTCGTCGATGTTGCTATTTCTCCATTCGTTTGTAGCATGAAGTAGTTGCGTTTTGTTGTCTTCGATTTCATTTTTCGCCTTGTGTATCTGATCACGAATCAGATCCTGGCGATATTTTATCGTGAAGGCTTGATTCTTTGCTGCTGGGTCGTGCGTTTTAATATTAGTATATTTTGGTAGCAGTCGTTCCTGTAGGCATATATTATTAAATATGACCGAAAAAGTAAGATTAATAATTCTAACACGAATTTTCTCGATCTTTCGTACATTTCTTTTCACTGTTGGTGGTAATTCAAAAATCAATTCTCCAAAATTCATTTTTATTTCTAGTCTGACGCGACAATTGAGCGCGTTTCCTAAAACTTATTACATTTTCAAAGACTTTAGTTTACACATACACAACTGAATAGAACTTACACATCTCCGAATTTGTTTATATCTACATTTGAGTGAGGTGGATGGGGTGAGGTGGCATTATTAGGGTATTAATTTCATCAACACAAGACAGAACACGAAACAATGGGTATTGAATAGAAGTGTTTGTAGAAAGCCTATTGGTCCATATTTCTTGATGCTTCTATATTGGAGCGGAGTCTTGAGGTGGGTAGAATATAGTTGTGCATTAATTGGCTGTTGATTGCTGGTGTTGACTTCTTGATGTGTAGTGCCTCGCAAACGTCAAGCCGCCTGCTATCGCTGTATCTATCGATACAGCGTGTCGATAGTCATGTCGACTAAGACTTTTTGCTCGATGGTACCCATGTAGAAGTTTGCAAACAGGACACCTAGGGGAGAATCCATGGCGACCCCATCCACTTACTTATACATGTGCCCATCCGGGCTCAAGAAGGGTGCCTCTTTAGTACAAGCTTGGAGTAGTTTCCTTAGAATATTCTCTGGTATGTCAAGAGGTATGTTTTGACATACCAGACGCGTTATGTGAAATGACGCGTTTGCAAAAACACTGCTGTATTCAGAAGTGCCTACGTATTACACGTGGAATGCCAGCAGAAAATCATTTGAACGACGCAAACGAGGAGAGCGAGTCGACGGACAACCTGGCATATTGAAATAAATTACGATAGGCAGACATCCACTGTGCATCCCAATCAAGATCACTGCTTCTTTCTTCGCATGCTGTTGGTAAATGTGCATGGATCAACGTCTTCCAGCAATTGAGATTTGTCAACGGCGTTACACATGCCACTTTCCGTAGTGCATGTCAAGCTCTGAATTAATTGGAGAACGACCGACAATAGGATGTATGCATTAATGACGCGTCTAACACGTCACATCCAAATCAAATTCGTACATTGTTTGCAATCATATTGACCACCGGGTCTCCTTCATCTCTAACGGAGTTATGGGAGAAATATAAATCGCACATGCTGAAAATATTGTCCGTCGAATACCCAAGGAAAATTCAAATGTGAACGTGGATTTCACAATAAAAATCGACAACGAAGCGTTGATAATGATTGATGATTTGTGCTTAGACATCGTGAACAAAGTCCTCAATCAATTGGAAATGCCATCACCGAATCGATCTGTTGCTGCTTCATTCGATGTAGAATTGCGTCTTGAACAAAGTTACAACACAGGTGATCTGTTGTCGTATATGCAATCAAATAGTCCTAATCTAACGCTTGAGAGAAAAGGTATTTACAATCAAATAGTTCAAACAGTCAATAACCAGCTTGGAGAAATCTACTTAGATGCTCCAGGAAGAACTGGTAAAACCTTCCTAATTAGATTGATTCTGTCAGCATTTCGATCCCAAAATGGCATAGCCTTAGCTTTTGCATCGTCCGGAATAGCTGCACCATTGCTACCAGGTGGAAGAACTGTTACCTCGGCTTTGAAAATGTCATTGAACATGCAATTCATTGAAACTCCCAAGTGCAACATTTCCAAAGCATTCGGCACACGAACTTAACAATATTATTCAGTCTAACATTCAAAGCGAGACAGGCACATACAAGTCCGTCGACACTGTTGAGGAAGCAGATTAAGCGGTTAATTTTCAAGCAGAATTTTTTATTTCACTCCATCTGCCAGGGATACCATCACACGTACACCAATCGGAAATCGGCGTGGCAATTATCATGTTGCGAAATATCAATAAGACAAAACTTTGCAACGCCAGGCGGCTTACAGTAAAAAACAGTAAAAAAAATTAATCAGCGACGTCGTAGACGCAACAATCTTGACAGGACCTTTTAAAGGTGAAGATGTCCTCATTGCTCACATTACTATGATTCCAACAGATATGCCATTTCAATTTAAGAGATTGTAATTTCCAATTTGTTTGGCGTTTGCAATCACCATCAACAAAGCTCAGGGCCAATCTTTAGAACTGTGCAGTTTATATCTGAACACGGATTACTTCTCACTTGGACAATTATATGTTGCGTGTTCTAGAGTCGGCAAACCAGACTATCTCTATATCACCACAGACAATGGACCAACAAAAAATATTGTATACCCACAAGCATTGTAAAATTAAACATATTAGAAACGTGCACTTTCTCTTTTCTTTCTTTCCCACTTACTCAGACTGAGCCACAGCAACGCATGGCGGGTTCTGCTAGTATATATATATTTTTAAAAATATATATATAAATATATATATATATATATATATATATATATATATATATATATATATATATATATATATATATATATATATAAATATATATATATATATATATATATATATATATATATATATATATATATATATATATATATATATATATATATATATATATATGCGAACAAGCCTGAATGGTCCCCAGGACAATATGCAACTGAAAACTCACACCCCAGAAGTGACTCGAACCCATACTCCCAGGAGCAACGCAACTGGTATGTACAAGACGCCTTAATCCACTTGACCATCACCATAGCCTCGGCTTGACCATAGCCTCGGCTATCACCTCATTATGTCCGGTCGTGATGGTCAAGTGGATTAAGGCGTCTTGTACATACCAGTTGCGTTGCTCCTGGGAGTATGGGTTCGAGTCACTTCTGGGGTGTGAGTTTTCAGTTGCATATTGTCCTGGGGACCATTCAGGCTTGTTCGCATTTGTGTTCCTCACGTGTGCCCCAAAGAATGAGGTGTTTTGGTAAAATGCTATGCCCAAGATTACTATCCAAGTGCCGGAGGTGGGGTGGTTCAAATAGCCTCGGCTATCACCTCATTATGTCCGGTCGTGATGGTCAAGTGGATTAAGGCGTCTTGTACATACCAGTTGCGTTGCTCCTGGGAGTATGGGTTCGAGTCACTTCTGGGGTGTGAGTTTTCAGTTGCATATTGTCCTGGGGACCATTCAGGCTTGTTCGCATTTGTGTTCCTCACGTGTGCCCCAAAGAATGAGGTGATTTGGTAAAATGCTATGCCCAAGATTACTATCCAAGTGCCGGCGGTGGGGTGGTTCAAATAGCCTCGGCTATCACCTCATTATGTCCGGTCGTGATGGTCAAGTGGATTAAGGCGTCTTGTACATACTAGTTGCGTTGCTCCTGGGAGTATGGGTTCGAGTCACTTCTGGGGTGTGAGTTTTCAGTTATATATATATATATATATATATATATATATATATATATATATATATATATATATATATATATATATATATATATATATATATATATATATATATATATATATATATATATATATATATATATATATATATGGTGCAATATGTACGTAATATGTACCCAGTCAATGGGAGTAAAATTAAATCAAATTTAATTTGATTAGAGATAGAACTCTTGAAGCTATTGATATGTGATTCTGTTTGCAGCCTCAGTGTAGTTGAAACATATCGTGAGAGCGAGTTTACTAATAAACACCGGCTTTCTGTTCATTAATAACAACTTTATGCAAACATATCATGTGGTCTAAGATAGTACATATCCTCGAGCACGGGTATGGCGCGCTCTTGTCCTTCACCAGACAGTATGGTAGACAAGAGAGCCTCTTCAGACTGAGAGAAAGCAGGACAAGAAGACACAGGTGGAAGCTGAAAACGCAAATGAGCCGAAGAGACGTAAGTACTCGTACCCTTTCCTGGTAGTTAAAAGGATACGAGAACTTTCTTATGTCCCTTCTGGAATGCTCTAGTAGAGAATTTGGTAGAAGCCACCTATATCAAAAGCTTTAAGGCCCGATTCGACAAAGACTTTAAAATTCAGAACAGTTAGGTTGCAACGCAACAGGTATAAGGCTGGTAAGCGGGGCATAAAGAGTTAGACCTCATCTCCCCGTAGACTCTAATAGGGAAATACTGTACCACCACGCTGGTTCAATCCTTACTCTGCTCGAGCAATTTTCTCCTTGATATATCACGCAATTGTGATTTCCTTGAATATTATTAACATTACCATTGTTAATGTTACTTGGTGCACAGACAATGAATCACAACAACGTGGCTGAAGATATGATGACCAAACGACGTACTAGAAGATGATGAGACGAAGACGTTTCGGTCCGTCGTGAACCTTATCACAGTCAACTTGATAATGGTCCACGACGGACCGAATGAATCGTCGTCGTCTCCTATCTGGTGTGTAGTTTGGTCATCACTACTTGGTGTACATTGTTCCTGGCAAAAACCTCAGTAATAATATATTGGGCTTCGGTTAAGAACTCATTTACAATAATTTGCTAGAGATTCATCGGTATTAAGTTGTTCTGTAGTTTACAGCTTTCTGTGAGTGTATAACACATGATGCTCCCCGTCAACAGACACACAGGTTGCACACAGAGCAATAGCTGGAGCGTTGAATGATGTGTTATCAACACAGGACCATCTCCACTGCTCTATTTTCATCCTCACCGCCGACGCCTCCTCCGATCCATCAACCATCGCTGTAAGCGTGGAAAACTTACATTTAAAAACTTGAATGATACCTTTTATACAATATTTTGCTAATGCTTACAAAGGCACCATTGAGTGAAAACATGGACGGAACGTACTTTATCTACGAAACTTTTTTTCTTGCAGTTATTAGAGCTGTTATGGATCCCAGTAGGTCTGGGCGTCTTCACAGCAACACAAGATGGCTCAGATAATAACGATACTCGCTGGCAGCTTCCACCCACACTTGTTCGTGCTCTTAACGTTAGTGTTTGGAACGTGTTGTGTAGATCACGACATTGATTTTGACTTGTAGTCGAGAGTAGATTTTTTTTTTACGTTAGAGATGACACGGGTAGCTCACATCATTACTGAGTCGGGTAGGTCACTCTCACATCACTACTGAGGCGGATAGATCACTCTCGCATCACTACTGAGGCGGGTAGGTCACTCTCACATCACTACTGAGGCGGATAGATCACTCTCGCATCACTACTGAGGCGGGTAGGTCACTCTCACATCACTACTGAGGCGGGTAAGTCACTCTCGCATCACTACTGAGGCGGGTAGGTCACTCTCACCTCACTACTGAGGCGGGTAGGTCACTCCCACATCACTACTGAGGTGGGTAGGTCACTCCCACATCTCTACTGAGGCGGAAAGGTCACTCTCACATCACTACTGAGGTGGGTAGGTCACTCCCACATCTCCACTGAGGCGGGTAGGTCACTCCCACATCTCTACTGAGGCGGGTATGTCACTCTCACATCACTACTGAGGCGGGTAGGTCACTCTCACATCATTACTGAGGGGGGTAGGTCACTCTCACATTGCTACTGAGGCGGGTAGGTCACTCTCACATCACTACTCAGGCGGGTAGGTCACTCTCACATCACTACTGAGGCGGGTAGGTCACTCTCACATCATTACTGAGGGGTGTAGGTCACTCTCACATTACTACTGAGGCGGGTAGGTCACTCTCACATCACTACTGAGGCGGGTAGGTCACTCTCACATCACTACTGAGGCGGGTAGGTCACTCTCACATCACTACTGAGGCGGGTAGGTCACTCTCACATCACTACTGAGGCGGGTAGGTCACTCTCACATCACTACTGAGGCGGGTAGGTCACTCTCACATCACTACTGAGGCGGGTAGGTCACTCTCACATCACTACTGAGGCGGGTAGGTCACTCTCACATAACGTCTACTATGTTGACGTCAACAGGTGCGGCAGGTGTCATGGTGCGTGACGGTGGTGGTGGTGAGCGACGACCTCGCCTTCCTCACCGCCTTCGCCCAGTGGTCCCTCAAGGGCCGCCTCCTGGTGTGGTCGACGAGGCTCCTGGTCGTCACCCGCCTCCCCCTCCATCACCTGCAGGTCCTCCATGGGTTGCTCTCCATGACCAACTCCATGCTGCTCAGTGTTCATGATGCGCCTGTCAGCTGCAGGTATCGTATCTCATAAAATACTGTGCAAGGAAAACATGCTGAGCTAATTCATTTTTTAGGCCATTTTATCGCAGGCTGCTAATATTTTCAGAAACGATGATAAATCTGTGAATTCGTGATGAACGTCGGTCTCTGTACAGGTACAGTGTGTACATCCAGCTGCCGTACAGTCCCAGAGGAGCCCAGGCGCTGAAGGTGGCCTCCTGGACGCCCCACCAAGGCCTCGCCCTCACCTCCAGCCTCCCGCTCTTCCCTGACAAGTTCTCCAGGTGAGTAGATAAAAAAAGGAAGAACCAAAATATAGTAAAAAGAGATACTATACATTTAAGCATATATGAGTGACAAGGAGATAATTACAACTCTGCATAATATAATTACTTTCATGGTCCATCTCTTTTATTTAGATTTTTTCTAGATGAATGTAATATTTATATTCATAACATCTATTAAAACGTTAAATCAATGCCTTAAAAAAAATTCAGTTGCATTTTAATTGAATGTATATTTGTTTAATCTTCTGCAATATAAAATATGAATTAGTAAAAATGAAGTTTTAACAGTAAGAAAAAAAACAGTCTGTATTAAAACTTATATAGCCCTAATATTTTGAGGACTGTTGTAGTGAAATTAGCCAAGTATTATGTGATTTTACGTTAGATTCCTTCAGCGACCGACTCTCAAGCTGGCGACGGAGACAAGTCCTTTGAACATAATAGTTGTCAAGAAGGAAGCAGAGGCCCGTGATGGAGTGATGGAGTTTGCAGGACCAGCGGCGGACCTAGTGTCCTACCTCGCGATGGCTCTCAACTTCTCGTAAGTTAATGTTTGTAGAATCTGCAAAAACCCTATATCACCCTTGGGACTTCAGCCTATGTGCTGGCGAGAGGTAATGATCGGATACATACCTTTCTGGTTTACTATATTGATGAACTGTACAGGAACGTATTTGGAACCTTCTAACACCGTAGACGGCGCAATAAAAACTTGCTCCCACAGTGGCCTCCTCAAAAGTAGGCTTCCAAAGAAGTTAATTAATTCCGTGGAACTTCCTACCATCTCTCAGGAACACACCAACACACGAGGGCGGGATTTCCCTGCCCTGCCAATGTAACCTTTGCTCTGGCCCTGAGTGGCACAGACGCATGACCCGAGCTCGCAAAAATAAAAAAATAAAAAAATAAATGTAGTTTGACAAAACCGAAAGCGTGGCACAGCGCTCACCCTCAAGAATACTTACTGTACAAAACTATAGATACAGCAGTATAAGTGAACTGAACTATGCAGGTAGTATCAAACACGAAATCCTTTACACTGAATAGTAAACCTTGTATGTGAACAGGTAGCAACAATTTCTAGTTAGTGGTTAGGAATGACAGAGAGAACCAAGGCCTGCTCTCGTCCACACCCGGTGGGTGCAAGTGTCTGCACCTAAGTATGGATGAACCCATCATAGGACGCCATGTGAGGGATCAAATGGCGATGATGTTAAACTGTTAAACTGACATAATCATCCAGGTGTGCGGTAAATTACCTGGAATAATTAAGTCCATAGAGACTGACAATGAAGCATTTGAACAACAAAAAGAAGATATTGACGATGAGTCTAGAGACTCAAACAGCTATGCAGGAGTCACGGGAAGGATGAACACGACAAGGAACACCCTTAAGAATTTGTATTGTCGTGTTCCATTAGGTTCATGGAACACATGGACCATGGAACACGACAAGCAGAAATAAGTCCTTCAGGGAGCACAGAAAAACAATTGCTTCAATGTTCAAATCCCTAATGGATCTAAACATAGAAACGTCGAATAAGCACCAGGAACAGTACCATCTTCAGGATAAATTACAAATTTAAAGGCCAACCAGTACTTGCAGCAAATGACCTGGAAGTAATATAATTAACGAAAAAGATATATAAATTCCAGGGTTAGTATTACCGATTATTCCAACTCGACAACAACGAGGAGGCAACAAAGATAATCTCTCCGGAGTACACATTGAATTACCCAATAAGTGCAGTGCAAAAATTATTGCACATCATCTCAGCCGTAAGATGCACAATAAAAAGGATCGTACACTGTACAATGAAAAGGTAAATACCATCACAAGTAGAGGTTGATCAGCGGGAAAGTTTCATATGAGAAGTATTCATCAGGAGACCTGATGAGCGACTCCTGTCGCGGAGCTGAATGTGAACCGGCCTAAGTCAAGCAAGGATTTGGATCCCCCACATCACCTCAAACCCGAAATCCTCATTTCAATGACCCCCAGCATACCTCTCAGCAGTGAAATGGTACACTCAAGGTTCTCTGCTTCAACAATCCTCCCACGCATCATTAGCTCTTAGCAAGTTTCGCTTCACAAAGATTGAAAAACACTGCATAACGACAGTGGAAATAGATTAAACAAACCGATAACAAAAAGTAATTTTCGAAAGAAGGCACCAAGCCGGGGAGACCATGGAGTATAAGCGATAACAAAGTACTTTCCTCACAATAACTGCTGGGTGCTACTGATAATTTTTATGAAAGATCCATCTCCTTGCTCTAGCTGCCTCGCATAGCAAATTACAATATGTTTTCTGTGGTGTTATCGTCACCCAATTGCTAATCATATTTTTCTGGATGCCTTCATCTAACACAAAGTTGATTATATAGTATCAAATCTGAGGGTCCCCCCCCCCCTCCCACCACTCCCTAGCCACAAATGAGAATAATTTTCTACGTGACATACTGCACTCATTCATGTATTGAAAACAATCAACCTTGTGTTCTAATTTACAAGAGATTGTGAATAACAGATTCAGGACTGGAACGTGGTGCCCTGAGTCATGCGGCAGAACTCGCGTCAGACCTGGACCTAGATTCACGAAGCTCCATGTATTTCTCCGTAAGTAGGTTTGCTACGAAGGTTCCTAAGTATGCCCTAAGAAGATGCTTAGGTGCAATTCACGTAGGTCCACTTAGGAAGATATTTGGGTTCTGGGTTTGATTCACCTGTGTGCCGAGGCCAGAAAGCCGCCGGTTTGTTAAAGGGCCCGCCAATTGTCTTAATGATATTTTTTAGCTGGAATTTGGCATTTACGGCTTCAGCGGGTAGGCGGTTCCATGGGTTTATAACCCTCTTGGTGGAAAAAATTTATTTATTTATATATATATATATATATACAAGAAGGTACATAGCATAACAATTACATTCTTGTAAAGCCACAAGTACGCGCAGCGTTTCGGGCAGGTCCTTAATCAAAAGAAAGTTTTATGTAGGTAAATACTTGCAAAATTTATAAAAATGATAAAAGTTACATAGCAAGAAAAAAAATAAAAGATAAGAGAAAATTGTAGATATATTAAAGCACATAGGTAGCTCAGATTGATTGCAATGACAGCTTGAATGATAGTTTAACAAATATTGATAGGCACAATACAGCATATGGCTAGCACATAAAATAAGACAGCAATGAACACAATGATAAAGTTGTTTGGATTAAGTACATAAAGATTGGGAGATTTGGTAACACTAGATACAGAGCAAATTTAAAGCTCAGTGTAGGAAACTACGAAGATGAAATTAGGTACTTTTTGTTTTTGTTTTTAAATGAGGCAAAGGTTTGACAGCTTTTCAATTCACTAGGAGGTGAAGTCCATAGACTAGGTTCCTTAATTTGCATAGAGTGTTTACACAGATTAAGTTTGACCCTGGGGATATCAAAGAGATATTTATTTCTGGTGTGGTGGTAATGGGTCCTATTACATCTGTTCAGAGAGAGTTTCAGAGCATGGTTTGTATTTAAGAACAGGGTTTTGTAAATGTAGTTGAGACAAGAGAATGTATGGAGGGAGTTAATATTTAGCAAGTTAAGGAATTTAAACAAGGGAGCTGAGTGTTGTCTGAAAGCAGAGTTTGTTATTATTCTGATAGCAGATTTTTGCTGGGTGATGATGGGCTTAAGGTGGTTTGCAGTGGTAGACTTCCATGCACAGATACTGTAATTAAGATAGGGATAGATTAGTGCATAATATAGGGAGAGGAGAGCAGAGTTAGGAACATAATATCTTATTTTGGAGAGTATACCAACTGTTTTAGAGATTTTCTTAGTTATGTGTTGAATGTGGGCGCTGAAGTTGAGTCTCTTCTCTAGGAATAGGCCAAGAAACTTTCCATAATTTTTATTACTGACGTTAATGTTGTCTATCTGTAGCTGAATTGCATTCGATGATTTGCTTCCAAATAAGATGTAGTAGGTCTTTTCTATGCTTAGTGTTAGTTTGTTAGTTGACATCCATAAGTGGACTTTTTAAATTAATTATTCACAACATTAACATGATTGAAAACAGGATTGAAAACATATGTTTTCAGTCCTACATGAGAGAACATACTCTCCAACATTATATCTGTGATTGCCCTGTTATCAGTGACTTCATACCAAATGGTATGAGGAACTTTGAGCTCTGTAATTACTTCATACACTCAGGAATTTTGGAAGATATTCTTGTGCTGCACACAGATTTTGCCAGTGGAGGCTAATAGATCAGCCTTAAGTATTTTGTTCTCTCCTGATTCTATGTATGACTGGCCATCCTGTGAGGTGAGGATGTTGGATGAGCTTGTAGCTGGTTTTTTATCTATACTGTGTGGTCCTTCATACAAAATAGGGAAGCAGCACATTGCAGTGTATACCTAAACATGTTAAAAAATACATTGTTTGAGAGGAGTCTTGTAGAAACTGGTAAGAGTAATTATAATATAATGTTTCCATGATTCAGTGCTAACCTCTTGTGAAAATCGTGAAGAGTTGTTTAGTCAGAGTTGATTCGTTTTTTGTACTGAGGCTGGTATTTTTTACCTTGATTCATTGTATGTCTAACCATCCTATGAGATGGGAGTATTAGATAAACTGATAGCTAGTTTTTTATCTATACTGTGTAATATTCCATATAGAATAGGGTATACACAGCACATTGCTGTGTATACCTAATCTTAATAAAAAAATAGTAATAAAGATTTGAAATTATAATTTACATTATTACAAGTACTGTATTATCCTTATTAAATCATGTTAATCATGGATCATTAAGATCTCATGTTGATATGTAATAGTCATATTTGTTTTGAACTGCTAATCCATGCTAATCATTTTTTAATCATTCATTAAATTGTGCATTATGTCTCAATTTTTCATTTCCTTGGATATACTGTACAGTACAAAAAGATAGGATAAAAATAAACCAGTAATATTTCTTTCATTTTATTGGTTTTTAAATAACCGCATCAATATTTTTACATCTGACAGGATTTGTTTTACCATTCAGGTGCATTATTTGTTAAAAAAAATTGGTTTCTTGTTACACACAATGGTGCTACATAGTCTTCCGATCTTGGTGCCTTCTTTTAATACTTATTTACTGATTAATAAATAAATAATAATAAATGAATTTTATTCAGGAAAAGTACATACAGTTGATTTACAAACATAATGTTGGATTTATAGACAGAGCTAGTACATACAATACCTAAAGCTACTAATACTCATAGCATTTCGGGCAAGGTGTGGGGGAAAAACACTTAGACTAAAACTTAATAGTAATCGGGATTAGGTATATATTGTGTTGAAAGAAGGAATTAAAAAACAAAAAGGGGGGTAACATGGCACAAATCAGCAATTGTACACGTTGGTGAACAGCATTTTTAAAAAATAGCAAGACATGGGTCGACATTTAGGGGATAAGGTAGGTTACATGGAGTTTATTAGGTAGTACTTGGTTTTACTCTTAAACTGGTTGAGAGAGGTACAGCCTTTGACATGATTCGGGAGGTCATTCCACATTTTGGGTCCCTTGATTTGTAGAGCACTTCTAGTTTGGTTACACACAGCCAAATTGTGTAACAGGGTGAGGTCTTGGCCACAAATTTGTTCCATGCTAAATGTAGAGGAATCGGCTGAGTATTACTCAAATAAAATAAGCTGCCTCAGCTTATAAGGTAAATAAAATAAGCATTTCTCAAATAAGTAGCTGCCTCACCTCACCGCCTTTCTGCTACATAGCCTTCCCGGCATGGTGCCTTCTTTGATAATTACTTTTTCCACACCCAAGTTGTGTAACAGGAAGAGGTCTTGGACCCCTACTTCCCTCTCTCTTGTTTAATAGTCCATATAGTCATAATTATAGCTTTAAGTATTTAATGAATAAAGTTTTTGACATTTTTACCCTTCTCCTTACCTAACATCATTTGTGCAGCATATTTTTATTTTATGTCTCACCCAGATTTAATTTCAAAATAAAACCAAACTAAATAAATTAGAAATGGGTATGTATAGCTAAGGTACACCCTTACTACTAGGTGAACAGGAGTATTGGGTGATAGTAAATGATCCCATCAGGCAGGTCTCATCACCTCTCATATTTCATGTTCACCAGTGTTTATTTACTTAATAACTACTGGTATAATATCTTGCTATTATAAAACTAATTCTAATATCATATAAGACATATTTACTCAAAGTTTCAAGTAGAGAATGCATATATAACTAACACGAAGGACTCCTTTTTACGAGATTCTATAGCTATAATCTTTTGTTTATGTTCCAAAATCTTAAAATCGATCCCAGTGTTATGTAGTAGAGAAAAATTAAGTTATATCCAGTTTACGTAAAGCTACGAGTGGTCGACACCACACTTAGATGCCGGACCAAACTTATGAAGGTTTTTCGCATTAGTGTAGCTATCTGAATACCGACGTAGCCGCCACGAAGGCGCTAAGAAAGGAAACTTTCGTAGCTAAGATTAAAAACCTTCGTAAGTACCTTCGTGAATCTGGCCCCTGGTATCTTACCTCGCCACGGATTTCAACTTCTCATATGGTACAGTTCTGAGTCAAAGAAATTTAGTTCATTGATATTAAATGTTTAATGACATGTTAATGCGATCTGAACATTAGAAGTAGAAGTCGCGACGTGTCCCCTTTATTTCTCTCAGGATTAATTTAAACCTGCCATTAGGATGTTTACCTACATTTTATTTATAGTAAAACTTATGAATGTTAATGTATTGTTTCTAATGTCGTAGGTATTGTTTGTTTTCTAGTAGAAGTTGGTAACATAATACAAATAGAAAGATGGAAGCTGGTGGTACTTGAAGAACTCACTTTGTCAATGAAAGAGGATGTTTGTTTATATGTAAGTCCAAGAATGAAAGCGAAGGAAGTATGCCAAGGATGGATGCCAAGGAAGAAAGTCAAAGATAAAAGCCAAGGATGGAAGCTAAGGATGGAAGCCAAGAATGAAAGCCAAGGATGGAAGTCAAGGATGGACGCAAAGGATGGAAGCCCAGGAAGGAAGCCAAGGATGAAAGTCAAGGATGGAAGCTAAGGATGGAAGCCAAAGATGAAAGCAAAGGATGGAAGCCAAGGATAAAAGCCAAGGATGGAAGCAAAGGATGGAAGCTAAGGATGGAAGCCAAGGATGAAAGCCAAGGATGGAAGCCAAGGATGAAAGCCAAGGAAGGAAGTCAAGGATGGAAGCCAAGGAAAGAAGCCAAAGATGGAAGAAAAGGATGGAAGCCAAGGATGGAAGCCAAGGATGGAAGCCAAGGAAGGAAGCCTAGGATGGAAGCCAAGGGTGAAAGCCAATGAAGGAAGCCAAGGATGGAAGCCATGGATAGAAGTCAAGAAAGGAAGCCAAGGATGAAAGCCATGGATGGAAGCCAAGGATGGAGGCCAAGTAAGGAAGTCAAAGATGGAAGCTAAGGAAGGAAGCTAAGGATGGAAGCCAAGGAAGGAAGCCAAGGAAAGAAGCCAAAGATGTAAGCCAAAGATGGAAGACAATGAAAGAAGCCAAAGATGGAAGGCAATGATGGAAGCCAAGGAAAAGGCCAAAGATGGAAGCCATGGATGGAAGCTAAGGACGGAAGCCAAGGATAGAAGACAGACATTTGGAGCGACCCTTATTAAAAATTTACTGGTTATTGTATGGGAAGTATCACAGAGGGACACTTCCCATGCGAGGAGTATGACACCCTGACTGGGTCGTATATGGCCTAACCACTTGGACTGGACAGTAGAGCGGCTGTCTCACTTCTATGCAGGTCGGCGTTCAATCCCAGACCCCTCCAAGTGGGTGGGCACCATTTCTTAACCCCATTACATCCCAAATCTTTATCCTGATCCCTTCCCAGTGTTATGTAATAGTATAGGCTTGGCGTTTCTTTCTAATAGTTTCCCTTCACTTCCCTTTGACTTCAGAGGAAGGACATTATCAGAGGGAACTCGAGGTCGGCTCCATTGACCCCTTAATAAAGTTAGCAGAAATAAAATGTCCTGTTCTGAGTCCAAAGAGTTTAAAAATAGACACGAGGGGGTGTGTGTGGGGGAGAAAATGGAAGGATTTTTATGGGGGAAGAGAAAGGTGTTGGGGTTGTCAGAGAGGGTGTTTTGCTTGGAGGGTGGAGGGGGGTGGACATGGATGTTGTTTGGGAGACAAAAAAGGAAGTCGAGGAGGGTTTCAGTGTGGGAGCAGACAAGTAAGGGGTGAGTGTGGGGGTAGACAAGCAAGGTGTGAGTGTGGGAGCAGACAAACAAGGTGTAAGTGTGGGGGACAGACAAGTAAGGTGTGAGTGTGGGGGCAGACAAGTAAGGTGTGAGTGTGGGGGACAGACAAGTAAGGTGTGAGTGTGGGAGCAGACAAACAAGGTGTAAGTGTGGGGGACAGACAAGTAAGGTGTGAGTGTGGGAGCAGACAAACAAGGTGTGAGTGTGGGGGCAGACAAGTAAGGTGTGAGTGTGGGGGCAGACAAGCAAGGTGTGAGTGTGGGAGCAGACAAACAAGGTGTAAGTGTGGGGGACAGACAAGTAAGGTGTGAGTGTGGGGGCAGACAAGTAAGGTGTGAGTGTGGGAGCAGACAAACAAGGTGTAAGTGTGGGGGACAGACAAGTAAGGTGTGAGTGTGGGAGCAGACAAGTAAGGTGTGAGTGTGGGAGCAGACAAGTAAGGTGTGAGTGTGGGAGCAGACAAGTAAGGTGTGAGTGTGGGAGCAGACAAGTAAGGTGTGAGTGTGGGAGCAGACAAGTAAGGTGGGGGGCGTGTGGGGATACGAGTAGGGTATGAAAATGTTTACAGTGATGAAACCAGTGAATACAGTAGATAATTACTGTGATGGGGAGACTGGGAGGGTTTGTGTGGGGAGGAGGGTCATCATGAGGAGGTGGGTTATGGGGAGTAGGTCATGAGTAGTGGGTCATGGTGAGGGGCTAAGTTAGAGAGGGAAACATGAGAGGGTGTGTAGAAGAGCCCTGCCCACTGGCCTGTCCCTGTACCTGTCAGTCAGGTATCATATCCAGTTATTACTATTATTCATTCATTTATCTGTACTTCAGATACATATACCTGAGACCTGCTGATAGGTCTTGGGGCATAAAGCGTGCCGATGGTTCCTGGTCAGGTATGGTGGGGATGGTCACCAGACAAGTAAGTGTATGCTCTATGGGCACAGACTCTCATCAGAATAACAAAATATTTAAAAATCAATCAATTAAATTGCAGATTTAAAAAACTTGAAGACAAAATAATTATTCATCCTCATTTGGGAAGAGTTTAAAGCCTAATTAATTAAAAGTAAAGCACCTCTGACTTGCCTCAGTCTGCTGTGATGAGAATCTGATAGTTTTGCCTCTGCTATTATAGATGTCAAGTACGATATTGTCTTCTAGAATACCAAACAAGCACCTTTAGTCTTATATTCTACATGAACGATCATATCATCATTTTTCAATTGATTATTACATGCCAATATTTTCCATCACACAGGAAGTAGACATAGCAGTCGGCCCCTTCGGTGTTAGTGAAACGCGCGCTGCGGTAGTGGACTTCACTGAACCATTCTTAACTGACTCCTGGAGGATGCTGGGAGCCCGAGGCCGGCCGGAGGTTGACCCGTGGGGCTTCCTGTTCCCTCTGGAGCCGGTGGTGTGGACGGCCATCCTGGCGGCGCTGCTGGTGCTGCCTCTGACGGCCTTCCTCATGTCTTCATGCTTCTTACTCAATACATTCGGTCAAGAGAAAATGCTTCCACCAACATCCTCTTATCTCCGTATATTATTGAACCAGAGTAAGCCAGATTCAATGCTTTTGAATATTATATTAGGCACAAGGTGGTAATACCCGAAAAAGTAAGATTAATAATTCTAACACGAATCTTCTCACTATTGCTTACGTTTATCTTCACTGTCGGGGGTAATTGAAAGATTAATTCTCCAAAATTCAATCTTTATTTCTGAACTGACGCCTGATCGTGTTTCGTAAAGCTTATTACATTTTCAATGACTTAGTTTACATATAAAAATTCATCATACTTATACTCGCTTTGGGTGAGGTGATATGGCACAACAATTTTGGGTAAGGTGACAAACATAAGACAGAACACGAAACAATGGGTATGGAAACAGAAGGACGGAAGTAACTGCAGAAGGCAGTAACTTCCTTCTACAGTTACTTCCATTCTTATGTTGAAAGTAACTTAAAACATCAAAAGTCAACACCAGCAATCAACAGCCAATTAACACATAACTATATTCTACCAACTTCAAGACCCCGATCCAACATAGGAGCAGCAAGAGAAAATATGGACCAATAGGCCTTCTGCAGTTACATTCATTCTTATGTTTTCATACCCAATTAATACCTACCTCACCCAAAACATTTGTGTCATATCACATCACTCAAAACGAATATAATAATGATGTCTGTAAGGTGTAAACAAGTCTATGAGAATGTAAGAGGCATTTACGAAACGCTTTTAGGCGTCAGATCAAAATTAAAAATGTAAAAAATGAGTTTTGGAGAGTTAAATTTTCAATTACCCTCGACAGTGAAGAAAAACGTAAGAAATAATGAGAAGATTCGTGTTAGAATTATTAATCTTGCCAATTAATTATTGGCAAGATTATTAATCAATATATATATATATATATATATATATATATATATATATATATATATATATATATATATATATATATATATATATATATATATATATATATATATATATATACATATATATATATTTTTAATAAAGGAAGGGAGTACCACCTCTAGCTGGAAGAAGGGGGACCCAAAGCCTTGGAGGAAACCACGCATAAGGCATTAGAGGGAATGTTTAGATCCCCTCCAATACAGTTTCTGTGTGCTTTTCTCCTACCACCCCCTTCCTTTTTTATTTTTTGTGCTTTCTTATGTATTTGATTGTTACAAGATATACATGGGTTGATACAAAAATAATAATACAAAAAGATGCTTAAAGGTTATGGATCTCTTGAAAAACACGACAATCGGAAACATTGATGAATGTCACAGACGGGTTCGATCATTGTTGCAAGTCAAATACTTCTTCGAATTCCTCTGAAGTTGGGCTAGTGCCCAAGACGCAACAGGCATTTCCCCTCTGAATAGCAACACTGAGGCGCTGGATATATATATATATATATATATATATATATATATATATATATATATATATATATATATATATATATATATATATATATATTTATATATATATGTGTATATATAGACATATGTCGTACCTAATAGCCAGAACGCACTTCTCAGCCTACTATGCAAGGCCCGATTTTGCCGAATAAGCCAAGTTTTATTGAATTAATATATTTTCTCTATTTCTTTTCTTATGAAATGATAAAGCTACCCATTTCATTATGTATGAGGTCAATTTTTTTTTTATTGGAGTTAAAATTAACGTAGATATATGACCGAACCTAACCAACCCTACCTAACCTAACCTAACCTATCTTTATAGGTTAGGTTAGGTTAGGTAGCGGAAAAAGTTAGGTTAGGTTAGGTTAGGTTGGTTAGGTAGTCGACAAAACATTAATTCATGAAAACTTGGCTTATTAGGCAAATCGGGCCTTGCATAGTAGGCTGAGAAGTGCGTTCTGGCAACTAGGTACGACATACATATATATATATATATGTTATACCTAGTAGCCAGAACGTCGTACTCGGCCTGCTATGCAAGGCCCGATTTGCCTAATAAGCAAAGTTTTCCTGAATTAATATATTTTCTCAAAAGTTTTTCTTATGAAATGATAAAGCTACCCATTTCATTATGTATGAGGTCAATTTTTTTTTATTGGAGTTAAAATTAATGTAGATATATGACCGAACCTAACCAACCCTACCTAACCTAACCTAATCAACCCTACCTAACCTAACCTAACCTATGTTTATAGGTTTAGGTTAAGTTAGGTAGCTGAAAAAGTTAGGTTAGTTTAGGTTAGGTAGGTTAGGTAGTCGAAAAACAATTAATTCATGAAAACTTGGCTAGGTTAGGTAGCCGAAAAAATTAGGTTAGGCTGGTTAGGTAGGTTAGGTAGTCGAAAAACAATTAATTCATGAAAACTTGGCTTATTAGGAAAATCGGGCATTGCATAGTAGGTATATATATATATATATATATATATATATATATATATATATATATATATATATATATATATATATATATATATATATATATATATATATATATATATATAGGGGGGTACCACCACTGGTGCATTTATAGGGACCCACAGCCTCAGAGAAGGGAACACAGAGCACTCAGGGAAAAACTTGACATTTAACTCTGAATACGAAAGAGTGTTCACTTCTCCTACCACCCCCTTTTTTTTTTTTTTTTTTTATTTATTATGATGTACACTTTATTATGCAAGGTTATACAGTTACATATCTGATTTTATACAAAAAATAAACATTAAGAGGACACAAGAAAAAGTTCGCTTCCTAGAGGCTGTAGATTTCCTCGAACTCCTCCGACGCCGGGCAGGAACCGAGGATGCAGCGGGCATTTCCCCTCTGGATCGCGACACTGAGGCGCTGAAAGAGAAAACTTGCTGCTCTAGGGTCTCTTGTGGTGTCAATGAGCTTGGAACCAAGATCCTTAAGAAACCTTCTTGCACTCTCACCCCATGGGCCTAGGGTCTCAGACCCTATTGGAACGAAATTGTACCTTTGATCTAATTGCCTGTACTTGACTGACTTTTGTTTTTCTCTGTGTGTCGCTGCGGCTCCCGCCGTGCCGGCAGAGAGGGTGATGTATGTCGTTGCCAGGGTGGATACGCAAGTATAGTCCCATGCTAACTGCCTGCCACCCTTCCACGGACGCAGTGTGATTCCGTCTGGTCGGCCGGCAAAGCTAACAGAGTCACGGTTCAGTAGGTTGCGGGGCTCTCTCTCCGCTGGACACTGAGCAGAGGCAAGGCTTCTTTTAATGATATCGTTGACTTCGTCGTGTCTAGTGTGCCAACCACCCGATTTTCCACAGTGCAGGCCATGCAATCCATATTCGTCAGCATCTGCCTCGCCGCAAATACACCTGTGAACAGTGTGGATAGGGGCAGCTAGGCAGAGAGCGACTGCAATACGGAGCTCCTGCGGATCAAGACGTGTGCCTGTCGCAGACATAGGGACTGCCAGAAGGAAGTCCCCTGCATGGGGAGCCTGCACAGCTGTGAGGCGTGCACGATCACTGGGGGTTGTTGCTGCCTCCAGCAAAGCTGTGGCTTCTTTGTCTACAATGGGGCTGTCCCAACTGGATTGTTTCTTGGCTTTCGGCATGGCTGGTCTGAGTGCTGGGTCTGTCATGGCACCCCATTTCGTGTCGCATTCCGTGTAGTGGGGGTCCTGTATCCCCGCTACATCACTCAGGGTGTCAGGTAGAATTTCCTTAACCAGGTCATCTGATGCTGAGGAGGAAGACAGGAAGGCTGGGACAGCAATTTGGGTGGCGGTGCGGACACCCAAGCCACCGAGCCTGACAGGAAGAGTGGCTTGTTTCCACTGGCATTCGTTGAGGGAGAGGTTAACAACTTTTTCCAGCATGGTCTTCAGTAGGAGGTCATACTCGTCAAGCTTTGGGTTGTTGTAAGATGGGGCGCACCTCAGAAAGTAGGTTAGCCTCGGAAGGGAAAGGCATTTGGTGAGGAGATAAAAAGCATCGTGGGCATCGATGTCACCTATTCTGTCTTCCATCCTCCTAAGGTCTGCGATTTTCTTGTCGAGGATCTCCTCAATGGCGTTAGACCCGAGGGGAGCTCCAAGGAGGGTGCTGTTCTCGGCCCTAATGACATGGGCTCCAGGCAAGGCAGACCTTATTCTAGCTACGATGTCTGGGTTGGAGGAGACTACTTCACACTTGGAAGGGTTCAGGACGAGACCCAGGCTTACTTCTTGCTCCCTTATTTTCCTGATATCTGACAAGAGGTGGTCTACGGTGCCAGCTATAGTGCCATCATCCAAAAACCAGATGTTGAACTCGCTGGACAAGCTTTCGGTGATTTCTTTTAAGACTAAGCAGAAAAGAAGGGGAGCAAGAGGATCACCTTGCTGAACACCTTCACATGATCTGATTTCATGTTCACCAAAGAGCAGTTTTGACTCGCCACTGTAGCACGATAGTATGAACGGGTAGAGGGGCCGGAAATGGCGATGTACGGCACAAAGTACTGCATCTCTTCTTACCATGTTGAAGGCATTCTTAAAGTCCAGTTTGAGCAGGGCCTTTTCATCAGAAATGTTTGTGATGTATGCTCGTGCTGCATGGGCAGCCGCTTCACAGCCTTGGGGGATTCTAAATCCTAGCTGGATTGGTTTCAGCAATTCAGCCGCTTGCTGGCTGACAACCCTCGTAGCAGCCTTGGCAATCAGGCGTCGGAGAGTGTTGCCAACAGCGATTGGCCTGATTCCTTCGTCCTTCTTTTTGAGAGCACAGAGGGAGGCACCAAAAAAGAGAGGCCTGATGACCTCAGGTATCTCACCAGCCAGACACATGTTGACGAACCTTGTGAGTTCCATAAGAAGATCTTGTGCAGCATCACCAACCGCAGGATTTAACATTTGCTTGATATGTTGAGGTTTTAACCCTGTAAAGCCGCCTGCTGACCCAGGTGGAAAAGAAAGGGCTGCTTTGTAGACCTCAGATTCACCAACGGTTAATGGGTCTGAAATGGTGTCTGCTGATGGCGTAACGATGTTGTCGCCTTGAGGGGCTCTGGGTGGGTGCTTGCTTTGCAGGGCCCGTGCTGTGGCTGA